AAAGGCAGAGGGCGAATTTCCTGAGGTACCCACAAGTCTGCAGCGCCCAGCTAACCGGCCTCTTCGAACGCTTCGGAAGGGTTACTTTGTCTTCGGATTTAGTCCTAATGTCGGTATTAGGAGACCCCCGCACCCGGTAGTTGTTGCGATTTTTCCCGGCTGCCATACACTCGCAAATGGCCATCGTTTTGTTGGCTGAAGAGGGGAGATAATGAAGGGCAAAGGGCTCCTCTTAGTGTACGATCGAATGAGGACTTGTGAGGGGTGGTACTGTTTGAGGGGAGCTGTATGGGAGGCATAGGAGGGGATATACTACTGGTATAGGTATCCTTAGCCTGTAGGCAGAGAGGACCTGCATCTCCTACATAGTCACAGACTCAGACAGGACAATAAAATGAATTAATAAATAGTAAACGCCTACACGTGTAAATTGCTGACCGAGAACTTAAAAAGATTCTCCATAAAGACTTTTACACCAATCACGTAGAACTGCAATCGCAGCCACATCATACTCGACAAATAGACTATGAACATCTTATGTCTATATATCTAGATGACTAGAGCCGGCTAATTCCTTATTTATACACATATACCTGATTTACATGGATGATGCAAGAAACTTAAATCTTATGATATGGAATTTTCTATATTATTACAGTCAACTCTAATCATGCATTGATGATACCTGATTAGTAGTTCTAGGCACATCACAACACCAACAGGATCTACCCAAGTCATCACCCAGCAGCATCTCAATAGCTACACGGCGCATTCATCATGTCGATTTCAAGCAGTGATCTAGCATAGCTCGATGTCTCTAAGGGTTTGGTTTGTTCAATAAAGTGCTTGGTAAAGTGACTACCGTTGCACTCCTACTGGAGCTTAGGCACGGGTGGCGCCGGGCTGGATCAGGTTAAGTAACATTAAGTACATCTAACTCGTTCCACCTGAATGACCGGACAACCTTAGACTTCATCCATGTGTTGAATCATGTCAAGCCCAAGCGTCTAGAGAACCTTCTTTTGACGCGCCTAAGCGCAAACTCCTCCTCAGCCTCGACCACCACGCGTCCAAGCCCTTGACACCTTCGCGATCTGTAACTTTTCCCTTCCATTCAGTCCCAGCTTTGGCTCACCTCAGCATCTCCTCATCTCATCCAGGGTTCGTTTTCTTCATTGGATGCCTCAACCATTCACCCACCAAGGCCTCCTCAGTTTGTATTCCCTTTTAGTTCCTTCATACAGCATCCCTCTGTCCTTCAGCCAGCCTCGTCATCCCAGAAACTTTGTAGAATGTCCATCCCTCCGGCCTTGCCCCGTCGCTGCCGTACCCCTAACCGTGGAGGTCGAAAACGCGACTGAGAGCTCAAGACCGAGGCACCGGTGCCCCAGCCTTTGTCGAACGCTCTAGTTAGTGTGCCGGCGAAATGTCGTACGTATTTCGTCGGTGGCGATTCGTCGCAGGTCGAGTTATTGGTGCCCTTGGCCGAGGTGAGGACGCATTTAAGGCCGGTATTTCGACCGTACTTTCACAGCGGCTAGTAGTTGCGGAGGGTCGGAAATCCTCTTGCTTCTTAGTTGGCGATTTGGCTTTTGGAGGTATGGGATTGCTTTGGTAGGTGGTGAGATGATTGTTGAGAGGGCCGCGAGATGAGTTTGGCTAGGAGTGATTTTCCAGAGAAATAGAAAATAAGATGTTGAAGTTGTTGAAGGTGTCGGTTTGTGTAATACGAACATCAGACAGGTTATAAGCTGTCTACGGTTCGTATCTGGGGTGTAGATGGTTGATTTCGTTGAGTTGTTCAGTCGTGAAATCTCTGCAAGTCGGATTTTCGACCAAAAATGAGCCAACACCACTCGTCCCGATCGCCAACCTGACAGAATCTCTCAAATTCACCCTTTGTCGTGACTGAATCTCGGCTCTGGAGGAATATCTCACCCCCAGGTTCGTGGAGGGCACCACTGACAGGTGTTCAGCCTTCGTCCTCCCGATGTCTCTAAGGGGATTTGACTCCAGTAACTTTCTTGCGCCGCAGCTGGAAGTCAAGATTCGCGTATCCTTCCAGGCGGACCAAATCCTACCATTCTGCAACCAATCGAGTCTATTGCAAATTAAGAAACATACCATTAACGACTTGTTGATCCATCATTCCATCTAGATTTAAGACAACATCTCGTGCAAAGTATTCGGGTTGGGACATCATATATCATCTTGATTCAGATTATTTGGAGATACATCATTGTCTGTATGGCGTAGGCGTATGGGGTTTTTTGGCAGTTTCTAGGCTCGTATGTTACTGCATTCCGACACATTTTAACTTGGAGTGCGAGACGCTCAAAATTATACTTGCAGTGCCCCTGTTTAATCTGTAATTTTGTTAAAGAACAAATGTCGAAAGCGATTGAATTTTTGGAGAAGATGGCAGTTAAAATGTCGACTAAGAATGAGCAGTGTAAGGTGTCGGACGGGTATTTGCAAATTCACCTTCACGCTTCAGGTCTTTACTAATAAATTACTGCACCTCAAAAATTCCAATTCTCCTAGTATTTTCTCAAATCGTCTCTGGAAGATTCGTGTCATCCCCAGAGGCTTATGAAAACCACTAAGAGGGCCTTTCTTCATCGCTCAATGAATCCCAAGACCTCCTTAATGATTCATAGTCACTTGTGGTGCGGTCTTAAACGTCATAACAGAGAGATTACCATGGAAGTATGTCCTAGAGCTTGCAGTAACTTTATCGTCAAAGCATGGTTGGAAATCGAGCAATATTTTCGCGAGTAATTGTAGATCATAGTCAATACTCGGCCTACAAATAATCAAAAATCTAAATATGCAACTCTTTTTTCTACTTCTTCTTTTGCTCTAGAAATGTTACGTCCATTCCATTGTGCGATACTTCAAACAGAGATACATAATTTGAAGCGAGAAAAACTGATCTCCTAAAAAGTAAATAAATTGCAGTTAAATCTATGTGGGACGACACAGTTTGGTCAAGTTCATGTAGTGGAGTCTACAAGTATGTTGTTGCTTGAATCTGATATGACCCTAAACTACTCTTAAAAGTTGAATCTTCCAGCTTGACCTTGTTGTCCGTAGATCTACTCTTTACATACTTGGATGCAGGTTTTGGTTAAAATAAATATCTGCAAGTTAGAATTAGGGATTGACGAGACAAAGGGAGTGACATGTTAGACGTTAGAATAATTGAAGCTATCAAGTAGGTCTCGTTGTTGATACACATATGACTACAAATTCTGTACTTAATTTCACATCGGTATATACTTGGATCAAAGCGCTCTAAAACCTCAATGACTCAGGGTTCATTATTTCCTTGAGACGAAGTATAAGTTGGGTAGAATTGAGCCATCTTTCTTGTAAAAGGATATTATATGATTACAATGAGAGTCTTGGTAAAATTAGATGTACATGAGAACTCATTCTCTCCACTTCAAGGGTCGCCTAGTGCATTAAATCATGACACCCAAACATAATTCATCTATAACTGTATCACTCAGCGAAGGTACAATATACTAACTGTAGCTAGTCCAATTCCAATCCTCATAACCTTTCTTTTATAAGTCTGATATGCCCACTTGCTGAAGGGAGTAGTGGATGTCTAAGCCGTCTGATTCCGCACTGGAAGGCCATCACGCACGGCATTCTACTTGTATATTCAGATTCTGCGAAGTTTGAAATAATCATGGAGCTCATGCTTAGAGACAAAAAATGTGATACACATCCAGCTTCAGTTTAGAGCCGTAACTTCAACATTCATCAACTATAAATGAGCTCCCTATCAGCACCAAATGTTCACTATATTGGATAGAAATTCATTGACCTGACTTCGATACGCGATCAGTTTTTCAAGAAATAATGTAGACAGTCCAGCTCACTAGAATATGACAATCCTATATAGCCTGCCTGGAGATATATTTTAAGTACTCGTGTTTTACTGCATATACTCTAATTATCGCTTTTAAATCTCTTTAACCTGAGTTGTGTGTTGAAAAAAGATCGTACTACAAATACTTCGTTTATTTCAGGGAGTTGTTATCCAGAAATTTGGAAATAATGCGGTGAATCCCTTGCTTTTTCGTGTCTGAATATTTCTCAGAGGCGGTTTTACATTTGCCTAATTTTTGAAAAACGGCTATTGATAAATTATTCAGCACAAGTTGTTATGAAAGCCCATGTATTCATATTTTTCTTAAAATCTGCCGTAAGAAATCTTTTAAACCTTTCTTCAACTAAACGTGGCAGGTTAGATCATATATTATCTTGTAAAAAGTAGATTTGGTGCTAAATCCTCCTTCAGATTACTGGTCCATTTTTCCTCAATAGGTATAGCCAGTCACATACCCTTGAGAGCTTTGAAAATCGAACTAATAACTAGTTGAATTTGATAAATTCAGATCAGTTGTTTGCTGTTTAATCCTTCTCTATTCATGCAGACTTAGTATCTTCTGAAACTGGCTAATGCCCGTAGATTTATATTGATCATTATCTGTGCGGAATATATGTAGTTTTCTAGTTTCAACTCTTTAATGAATGGCTGCCCTCTAGCATAGAGAGTTTACATCACTGAAGCCGACAGAACCCTATTTAATAAAGTTTACTATTATTACCTTCGTTCGGCAGGCTTCGGGAAGCTATAGTAGGAATTAGTCGATTAATTCAATATAAGCTTGGTTTGAATAAATTAATGACGTAAATCATCCTACTCTCGTTTTCGACTAATCAGATCTGCATCGGATGTTCAAAGCAATCTGAAAGCTGAAGAGAGTGCTTCACTTTTTTACAAATTTGTGAAAGCTGGATTCATTACAAAGTTTATGTCGAAGGCTTAGTCTTTTACTTTGATAGGCATTTATCTAGGCTTGCTACCATATGTTAAGTGGGAAATTTTTCCTGTGATATATCCATTGATTTGAAGTGCGGGGCTAAAATATAATTGAGCTTCAGCATTTTGAGTTATCTGAAATTAGTAATCTGCCATACCTTCAATTTTTCTTGTTTTCACTCTCTTGAACCGCAAATATATCTCGGGCCATAATTCCTGGTGTTTCAATATTTTCTTTTGATCTAATTCTTAGTATACCTCTTCCTCGATCTGACTCCCAATCAAGTAGTCCGGCTGCCCTGATGGAGTCCTTCGAGATATGACGTGAAAGAGCGGATCCAATGAAACTTTTTGAGGTGTGTACAGGGAAGAAAGGTCCGTGGAGTGGATTGGTAAACCTCGAACCAAGAAATTTCTTGTGATTAAAAGAAGATGATGAAGCATTAATTGTAAAGATTTGCTCGAATTCTGTGTGTTTTGATGCAGTAGTTTGTGTTCTGGGGTCAGATGAGACGACTCGATAAATAACGGGCGAAGCATTTAGTAACTCTTGTGCTGCCGCAGGAGTGGCAAAAATAACCATGAAGGCATCGCTGATGGGACATATAGGATGATACTAGCAGCAGTGACTGTGAGCCATCAAAGATATAATGAATAAACTTTCATTCGGAATGATCCACTTACTTTTAAAGAGCGAAACATGGTTACCTCACCATATGTGCTGATTGTGCGGAGAACCTCCCGGCGCTGAGAGAAAGAAGCAGGAGAGGGACATAGCTTTAGATGTAGCGTACGAAGGGCAAGTTCACGGGTTGACATATTCGAAAGGTGAGGATATCATAACCTTCGAGGATAACTGCCGTAGACACCGGCTCGCGCGATAAAGTACCCTCGGTCGAATGAAAGGGGTCCTTCGTACCTGTATGTCAAGGATGCCAAACTTCGGGTAGCAAATTAATTAATTAGCCACTGAAAATCTCCCATCAATCAGTGATTTCGCCAGCAAGGACGAATTCTGCACCTTCCAGTGGTGCCAGTGTAATCACTCAGTGTGCTCTACATATCTGGGTTAGCCAGCAAGAATCGTATACGAATCGATGTCGAAAGCAAAATACAGGCATATCTATTATCGGCGAATTCTCATCAATGTCGGTCTTGTCATTCTCATGAGACTCCTCTACCTTAACCTCTCCTCACACCACTTCGCCTCAACAACAGATAAAGGCGTTATTCCAACTGCAAACAGGAGTTTGCCTCATTCGTTACCGACCAGCACTAACTACTAATTTAAGACGTTACGTAAACCCGCAAGGAGGAAATTGAGTCGAAATTTACAAAGAGTGTATCCTAGCTTATGTTGGACTGTTGCTCTAGTTGGACAAAACAATTTGAGGGAGGACAGGCGGCTGAGATGTGGAGCAAGGGAGGGAATGGGTCTTTGAGGACCACGCCTGGACCGATATTTTCAAGGGGTTTTCAAGTTTGAATTTTTTTGTGGGCGCCAAGACCGAGATTTCGGCTAATTAGCCAGGAGGACTTCTTTCGTCGATGAGTCAACGGCACTCCCCAGCGCCCTGGACGGCACAAAAGAAGTTGGGCTAAGCTACCGTACAGCAATCACGCTCTGTCAAGACTTTTCTGACATTTCAGCACGACTCTCGAGAAAGGATTGGAAGGAGGCTAGAAAGGTAGGGTGTGAATTTCCAGAATTAAACGCAAGTCCGTGACGCCAAGCTGGCCGGCCTCTTCGAACGCTTCGGAAGGTTTACTTTGTCTTCGGATTTAGTCCTTATGTCGGTACTAGTAGTGCCCCGCACCCAGTGGTTTTTGCGGTTTTTCCTGGCTGCCATACATCCGCAAATGGCCATAGTTTCGTTGGCTGGAGAGGGGAGGTAATGAAGGGCAAAGGACTCTTAGTTCATGATCGAATGAGGACTTTTTAAGGGTGGTATTTTTTTAGGGGAGCTGTGTGGGAAGCATAGGGAGGGATACGCTACTAGATAGGTATTCTTGGCCTGTAGGCAGAGAGGGCCTCTACGTCATACATATTCATAGACTCAGAGACGTCGATAAAACAATCGAGGAATAATACGGCGACTTAGTTGTTGACCAATCTTTACTTGTCATGTGACGATAATAACTTTATTATGTAGCTTTATGATCGTCAAAACTAAAATCAATGGACAAGCTAGGGCCACACCAACTTTACTCGTACTGCATCCCTCTAATCAGTTACTGATTGGCCACAGTGCCTACCCATTTTTAGACACAGCTTTAATAGGTTTAGCAGTCCTGAGTTAGCCGCTAAGTCAAGTGCAGCCTTGACCACTAGTGAGACAAAATACCGTTAACCTTCGGAATGATGATTCCGCAGTTTGACGTTGTCGAGAAAGAATTCAATTCTTTCATTAGTTTGAAATGAAGATTAGCGGAGGTTCGTATTTGGTGCGCAATATTGAAATTTAGAGGCAATCGTCTTGGCCGGATAGATGTCTTTGAGTCTACTAACCAGAAATCGTGACTTGTTCTGCCTGTGTAGCTCTGCACCTCTGACATCTAGTAGATACTTCCGCCATGTGATTCTTTGTCACCTTCAGTGTTTGAGCCGAATATTGGATGGGAGGTTCTCAGTATAGAGTCCTTTCCTAGCCTTTCTTGTTATCTCTTGATGCACAATTGTTGTTGCTTTGTTTGCAAGGATAACCGTGTACGAAGTCAAAAAGAAACAAAATGTGGCTTAGAGATTAGATTAGCTGGCTGGATGCCAGCCACAAACCATATGAGCTCCTCCGTATGCCATAAGTTGAAGCGCCGTGTCAATTTCTCTGGCACCCGGACATGGATAACCTGTAAATTTACCAACGCGTCAGCTTCTTACAATCAGCGGACACCAAGACGTACAACATTCTATCACATGTGTCTCTCGGACAAATTTCTGATAGGGCAGGCAATCTTGAAGTTCAATTGATATTGTCTACCTTTTTTCCATCTTTTTCGATCAATCTCACGCTTTCTCTTTCTGGGAGAAATTAGTATACTGAAAAGCATGAATTCTTGAGCCTAATTTTGTCTACGTATACCTTGATAGGATATTTCGCGTTGAAATGAACCAGACCGCGAATGACTTTGAAACTACAACTCAACCTGGAGACAATGTTTTATTTTTGGTAAAAGTATATTTCAGTATATGATATCTCGTGCTAAAATTTCTAGACTCAAAGAGATCTCAGCCTTACTGTTCCTATCAACTTTGTCACAAACCCAAGCGTATCTCTCACGGCCGCCTGCTTTTCCCAACTTAATTATGGTGATGATGAAGACTTTAATACCTGTTTTCGCAACCTTATGGATATGGGATTCAGGAGGATACAAATCGATCTCTACTGGGAAGAAGACACAGGAATTTTTTCATTCTGTCCAGTAAAAATTTCGAACATTTCGACATCTCTTGTTCCGACGCCAATTCCACCAGATATCCTTGGGACTACTACTGCAAAGCTAAGCTCTTCTCCAACTGCTTCGACTGTAGTTTTAGACGCACCAGCAGATAATTCAATCTTTCTATCTACTTCAAAATCTCCCACACTGCCCACTACTTACAAGGCCAATACTTCTGTTATAAATATCGGAACTTACGTGTGCTCAAGCTCTTTGAATCTAAAGTTATTTGTAATCAAGCTGTTGAATTATTTAAAGGACAGCGATAGTGTGCTTGAGGCGCGGATCTTGTACATCATTCTTAACCTGCATGCTGCTGCTTCCGTAAATGAAACGGGTTTACTTGAAACAAATCCAAATACATTACCTAGCCCTCAAAATCTTGTGGGTCAGGCTTTCTCTGCCAATCTGTCTGAGTATTTCTACACGCCCAACGACCTACAGTCTGATCGTGTAAATCTCAACGAATCTTGGTACAAGGTTAATCCGCGTTATTTAACTACTCACGACTATTACACTGAAACGATTGATAAAGATGGAATTGCTTCGTCAATCGATGGCTGGCCTGCTGAAAGCTATATTGAGTTTGTATTACATAAACGTCTCCTGCTAGGATGGGGATCAATCGATCCTCAAATGTCTGCATACAACTTAAGTGGAGATTCTGACATTATATTCCCGTCAGGCTATCTCAGTAACGAAATTCTGGAAACAGATGTGGAGCAGCTGAATCAAGGGTGTCTATGGCCGAGCGATAGACCGGAAATCAATCCCAGTAATTTATCCTGGGCGATCATGACAACACCGTCAAATGAAGAACACCCTCCATTTAATCAAGAAAGTAAGAACGAACATCATAAAAAGTTACCAAATTTGACCTGAATAGATATTTTACCTCTCCTAAGCTATGCTTCTAATCTGAGCACGTGTGGGGTATCTCCTTTCTTAAACGTCACTCTTTTGAACACAACGGCCAACAACCAAACGCCTTATGGTGCATACGCAAATAGCACTATCTGGTCATGGGCACCTAAAGAGCCACGAAAATACGAAAGGCTGCCTGATACAAACTCTACCAGAAAAGGACCCACCTATCGTTGTGCTACTTCTCAACTCCATCTATCTGGTCGTTGGGCTGTATCAGATTGCCTGCAGTACAACTTTGGTGCCTGTCGTGCCTATGGTCAACCATATAACTGGACTTTCACATCGCGGCCCACAAAATTTGCTCTTGCTGCTAATTCCTGCCCTAATGGTTACACTTTCGCAGCCCCCCGTACAGCTTTGGAAAATTCCTACTTGACGCAAACGATGCGTCGGATCGAAGGAAATCAAAATGGAAATGCTAAATGCTGGGTTGCACTTGATAGTATGGATGTGGAGGGTTGTTGGGTGGTAGGGGGCAAGAACAATACTTGTCTCTACAATGATTCAATTGCCCTTGAAACATATCGCAAACGTACCATCCTTGTAAGTCTTGGATTTCGTCAATTTAACTTTCTTAACTTAGTCAATGTGTGCAATCTTAACTTATACCTGTATTAGATCCCAACTATTGCTGCCATACTAGTGTTAGTCGTAACTGCTATCACAATTATTGCAAAGGCCGCCGATAATCGAAGGAAAGGTCGAAGGCAGAATCGAAAAATAAATATAGCTGATATAGGCGAGGGCGTTCCTGGATGAAATACTAATCTTAAACCCTATGTCTATGACATAATTTTTGGTACCAGAAGTGTACCACCAGTTCTTGTCAGATATGAAGCAAAGGACTTGCTACCATTCCTAGAATAAATATCTAAGACTCTGAGCTAAATTAGAGATGACAACTTGCACCTTCACAGTCATCTGCATGATAGATGGAAAATCCAGATTTTCTTAAATGGTACACTGCGAGCACTGCCAAGTTCTTATCCGCTCTGGTACTTAACTCAGCCAAAATTACAGACGTAAATTTCCCCTCTATTTTCCATTATTTATAATTGTCTTCAGATTTTATATTCAAATGGCTTACAATCACGAGAAGAGGAAGTGGCAGGAAGGCAGCTCTAATGTAGAGATGAAAGAAGTAGATTGGCTATGAGGAGAGAGTATCTAGAGGCGGACAGGGACTATATGCTAACGTGCACGTACCACAAGTACTCACGCTATTGTACCTAGGGCCAGGTTGAGGCGAGACCGTAACTCTTACTCAAGTTTCTAGAGTTAATTAAAAATTGGGTTTAAGTCGTTATCCCATCTTGTTACAGTTTAACTGCGGTCTGGTTTATCCGAAGACCTTATCTGACTTACAGGTGCAGAAAAGAGAATGATCTACATCATCTTGTACCTGTAACGGCTAGTGCACCGATAATTGTCCTGTATCACGTGATACTAATCACGTGCCTCGTTAATTCTGTGAAAGGCGAAACTCCACTAGTTAATTTTGAACATGACTAGAGGATTCTAGCAACTGGCATTGAGACTATGAACTGGTATCAGGGGAACATAACAGAGGCTAGTGTCAGACAGGAAGGAATATTCTAGATAGCCTAATAAGTGTATAAATAGTTGAGTTAGGATACACATGTTATGGTATAGAAAATAATAAACAACCTTCGTATATTTGATCGCCCCAGCATCTATACCTCGAACTGTGACAGTACCAAGCAATCATGTATCACTGCGCCTGTGATACTGGCTAGGGACCCAATATGGCGGTGCACTATGGCCAAGTAAGAGAGTCGAGTAAGGTGGCTAAATGGGATGATAAAAGGCAGTGGTAAAGCATGGTGTCAGACTCACCCATGGAATGCGGATTGAGTGGACTAGAGAGGAAGTACAAATAGCCATAACCCTAAGTTATGTAACTTATTTATAGAGCTCAACCTAACCACCGGAATACTCAAATGAGTATTTGTATCGCAAGCTTGTTATAGTAGTAATTATAATTATGGGCTCAAATATAACTTCATTACTTTTATACTTCATAGAAGACCACTTCAATAGGATATTATAATGGGCTTGATTTCATCATGAATTATTTATGAACTACTCCCTCTCTCTTGGATCATATAAATATATTAATCTTATTAAGGAAATAATGACCCCTCAGTCATTGAGGTTGTGGGGCGCATTGATTCATGTAACTACCGAAGTGAAACTAAGTAAGGAATTTCCAGTCACGTGTATATCAGCAACGTGGCCTACTTTATAGCCCCAATTATTCAAAACTCCAACAAATAGCCAGAACGAGAGATAAAATAAGGATCAGACCCAGAGACAAATTTATTATGCAAGGTTCTCCTGAACAGAGAGCGTAACAGCACGTCATAAATTTTTAGAATAAATACTGGGTCTCGGAAATCCTTAGAGAAAAAAAGAAAGATAGCGAGAGTTCTCGTAAATTTTTATAGATCACAAGCAAGAAAGCATACACCAAAGTTCAGCATGAAACCTATCAACTTGTAGCCATATAGCTTAGCAACTCAATCAGCATATTTTCAAGTAAGATTTTGGATAGGACATATTCTTATTCATCTTAAAAAATTTGGAAAAGGAAAAAGTAATATCTATTAAATTTGGGAGGACTTCTGTCGCAGTATGACTGTATAGAAGACGATGGAATTAGCACAGTGGATTGAGGTCAGATAGAATCAGATATTCGAGTTAACTAAAAGTATACTAAGATCGAGACAGCCAGACTCCTAAGTACAAATTTTCCTCCACGCGACTGATCTGCATGAATAGCGTAATTGACGCGACTCATGTGTTTGACTCTGCCTGACTCGGATTGCCCCTGTAGCAGCTAGACACACCTTGTCATTTAACACTCCCCCTCAAAGGTTGTCCTGACTCTAGTCTCCTATCAATTGTTGTTTAGTAGATACTATCACGGGGACTTGTGTACAGTTAATACCAAGCTGTTCAATGAATTTCTGGAACTTCACTCTTGCCAACGGTTTGGTCATGCCGTCTGCTACCATATCATCAGTAGGAATGTAATCAACTGCCAACCTCCCCTTTCCGGCGAGATCACGAATAAAGTGATAGCAAATATCGATATGTTTTGACCTTTCGTTCAGATATGCGTTTTCAATTAGCGCAATTGATCCTTGGTTGTCTCCGAGCATTTGGACTAGTGCAGGGTTTTTCCCAATATACTTTGGTAGTCCGAGGTCTCGAAATATTTGAGCAATCCATTGTCCATGTTTTGCACACATTGATAGAGCAATATACTCAGCTTCACAGCTTGATGTTGATACCGAGCGCTGCTTTTTACTGGACCAAGATATTGGACCACCATAGAACATGGTGACGCTTCCTGAGGTACTTTTACGGTCATTTTTATCACTTGCCCAGTCGGCATCCGAATAGACCTTAAAGCTACTGTATTTTCCTCCGAGACCGTAACGGATCCGAAATTTTATTGTCGACTTCAAGTATCGGAAAACTGTTTTGAGTGCATATCCATGATGTTCTGCGGGATCACTCATGAATTGACTGAGTTTTCCAACTGCAAAAGCAATATCCGGCCTCGTGACGGTTGTGGCATACATAAGGCATCCAATTGCTTGCTGGTATTCTGTAACGTCGATTCTTTTGTCATCACTTGTGGCGGGCCGTAAGTGTTCATATCCAGTGAGTGGCACTGTTTTTGGCTTGTGAGCACCTTTTCTGAATCCAAACTTTTCCAACACGTTTTGAATGTTTTGTTCTTGGTCAAGATATAGGGTCCGGTTCTTTCTATCTCGCATGACCCTAGCTCCAAGTATCTTTTCTATCTCCCCCAGATTCTTGGCGCTGAATCTTGTCGATAACTTTTTATAGAACTGATCCAAATGTTTTTGAGACTTAGCCGATGCCACAATGTCATCAACATAAACCAATAGACTTGTACCATTGTCGTGAGTAAACATGCACGGATCGGCAAGGCTTTGTGTGAATCCCCATGTCAGTAACGAATCTTTGATCAGACAGTTCCAGTCTCTTGCAGCTTGTTTTAGCCCATATAAACTTCGAAGTGCTTTCCAGACGTAGCCTCTTTTAATTGAAATCCCTTTAGGTGGCTGAAGAAAAATGTCCTCTTTAAGATGAGATTCTGTAAACGCATTCTTGATATCATAATGGAAACATTCTAAGTCTTCAGCAGCAGTGACGGCAAGAAATAATCGAAGTGTGTCCATTCTTACTGTTGGAGCAAATGTTTGATTATAGTCAAGACCATGAATCTGACTGAATCCACGCGCTACCAGTCGGGCTTTAAAACGTTCAATTGAGCCGTCGGTATGAGTCTTGATTGTGTATACCCATTTGCAGGATACAAGATTTACGTCTTTTGGTGGTATGACTTCCACAAATGTATTATTTTTTCTGAGTGACACCATTTCTTCATTCATTGCCTTTTTCCATTCTTCTGAGTAGGTTGGGTCTTTCGTTGCTTCTGCAAAGCTAGAGGGAATTTTTATACCCGCAATTACCTCGGCTGGAAGTGCAGATTCTACATCTTTATCATGTAGCTGATGCAATAGTGTAATGTTCGTTAGATCATTTCTTCGACTTTGAATCAATTGTGCAATGAATACCTTGACACGTTTGGAATCTCGAAGCGACTCAGTTTCTTGCTGAGAGGTACGTTTCTGAGCGGTGGAGCGTGTAAAGTATCTGTGCCTTTGCAGTGGGAATAAATGTTTTGGGGTCGAAAAATTGTGCTCAAGATTAGTGTTAGCTAATGAGGTATCTACGTTTGAATTCTTTGTCTGAGAATTCAATGACAATGTTTCTGTTGAATGATTAGCATCAACTGGATATTCTTCCTCTAATTCATCTGAATCATTGTCCATAGCAAGTTTCTCAACATCAATTTTTTCTGCTTCGCCATCACTCATGTTTTCTTCGTCGTCTTGTGAAATTATCTCCTCGTAAGGTTGACGATTTGTATCTTGGTGTTCACAATTTCCATTTATCTCATATCTCTCATATACTTCTTCTGAATCAGAGTCCGTATCGATGTCTGTTTCTGAAGCCAAGTTATCACTTTCAGGTTCTTTTTCCAGATCCATATCAGGCGCGCTCAGATTTTCTAAGTGCTGATCGTTGATTAAGGTCTTCTCTAAGTCTTGACGAACGTTTTCACTGCTGCGAGCTGCTTTTTGGAGGGTGGGCTGAATCATTGTGGGGAGTTCACTACTGCCCACTATACTTACATGTTCTCGACTGGCATCTCCTTTATTATGAGCTGGACGTGTATCAGTGAGTGTGATGGCTTCTGAGTTAAAGTTATGCTCCTCGGTTTCTTTTGGTTTATCCTTCTCTGTACTAGCTTGAGGAAGACTCAACTTTTGTTCAATCTGCACATTTCTTGGTCTACCTCTTGGTCTTCTATCCATGGTCACATTCGGTGTTCCTTGAGGCCCGATCTTTGCATTTCGTATCTTTAGATCAACTGTTCCTCCTTTCTCGTTCTCGTTAATCACTACACGACTTGATAAAATAGTGTATCCTCGTTCCGGTGAATAAACCTTCAAGTGTTTTGTTGTATTCTCAGAATATCCTACGAATACGCCTACTCTCGCTGGGTTAACAAGTTTATCGTGTCTTTCATGAGCAGGCAGTGTCTTTTTATCTACATAGTAGAAACATTTACTCCCCCATTTCCGTATATGATCAATTGAAGGGGTTTCACCCGTAAAGGCTTTGATTGGACT